ATCCCATTAGAAGAAAAATGGATCAAAAGATAATTGCATTAATCCGCTTCGAATTCAGAAAATTAAAGTACCTCGCTGAAACTAGAAGTCATTCATTTTTGTGACCTTTATTGTTCCCTGCCTTTTAATAAAATGAACGAAAAACTAACTTTGAGCGTGAACAAAGGTCAAAACTTTTTTCTGAAAAAAAAACAAACAAAACCAAAAAATCAATTTTCAAAAAACTCCAATCGAGCCATCTTCACGAAAGAAATCAAGAAAAAGGAATCATTTATCAAACTGCCACCAGGCGAATGAACCAATTGTAGCGGAGCTTCGCATCATTTGCAATACAACGAAAGTAGAGCATTGCAAGCTAACAAATAGTCATTCTCGAAAGCAATTAAGATTTTAAAAAAACTTACTTAAGAAAATCGTAGCATTCCAAGCTAATAAATAGCCAGTGAGATGAAAATAACGAAGTCGAAAAAAAACTTGAAATAACAACAACTAGCAATGAATAAACTAGTAGTATTTTCCGAGCGTTAACTAAGCTACCAACTAACCTGAAAACAAAAACTGCCAAAGAAAATGGTTGCGATAAAAAATTTTAAACTACCAAAAAGACCTGATTAATTAAAAACAATAAAAATCATTTTTTATCTTAAAACCGATGTTAAATAAGTTCAATAAACCGACAAAACAACAGGAGTTAATCAAGACATTTAAAACTTTAATGGAAACATGCTAAAGTACAAAAAAAACGAGATGTCGCAACTAAGCCGACAAAACATATGAAGACGAACTATAGTCCGACTAATCAACTTTTCTAGGAAAAAATCACAATTTCAGAGTTAAAAAAAACAAGGTCCGTCCGGGACTCGAACTCCTGCATAACGTCCGGACTAAATGCACTGGGGCCTGAAAGTTGCTAAGTTTCAATAATAGAGCAACATCAATTTCAATAACAAATATGTACACAGAGGCGAAGCGCTTCCCAAACACTTGCGAGAACTCGACCAAAAAGCAGCTCTATCAAGTGCCATAAAAAAGTAGAAATAGGCCTCGAATTTGCACAAACTCGAGGCTTAGCAAAACTCGAATTAGCAAAAATCTGCACTAACCATTCAGCTACAGATGCTTAAAATTGCAAAAACTAGCCACCAATAACACAGCTACATATGCTGACAAACTGCTAATTCGATGCTGCCAAAGTACCGCCAAACACAAAAAAAAAACAATTTTGCATGTAATAAACCGCCAATCATAAAGCCATACTATGTATAAATAATGCATTTCAAAAAATGCAAGATCTACTGAGTAAAAAATTTCTGAAATCGAAATTTGATTCTTGTTATGTTGTTTGAAATAAATACCTTTCTTCGATTCACTTGATGAATTCAAAAGGTCAAAGCATATCAACTGTGTAAACTTAAAACTATTCGAATGTCGAAGCTTATGTTATCAATAAGCTGTTATTGCCAATTCGATGCAGCAAATATAGTTGCCTGTAATCGGGAAAAAGTATAGTTCCCAATTACAAGACATTTGTTCTCACAAGTCTATAAACGAAAAAGAAAACGAAAGTTGCATCTCTCATAAATGCAATAAGAACAATGATACCCGGTTACTGTGCAAGTAACACAGAATCTGCCGACTACAATCTTGAAAATAGGATTTTTTTTTTCAAAATCAAGCCTTTTTTTCTGCGTGGCGTGTCAAAAATATCTGAGCGAAAAATCAGAACTTAGGCATATTCGCCACTCATAGTAAGAAAGGCTAAATGGAAAACAGTTTTTGTAGAAAAATGACAAGAAAAAAAGAAAAAAAAACATCGTAAAAGAGAAATTTTAAAAATTTCAAACTTTTTTAAATTTTTTTTGTTAACATTTTTGATTCCCAAATTGGCGCTAAAAGACTGCAAAAGCTAAATATTCTCAAGTAAAACAAAAAAATTTACGGCTTAAATCAAGAATAAATAGGTTTTGTAAGCCTGCTTACACTCACCTTATTAGCTTGAAATTAGACCAAAAACCAAAAATCTCGGCACTTGATAAAAATTTCATATTTTTCATATAGTTCGAAACACAACTAAAAAAGCTGTAATACGATATATCACTTGACCTATACCGATGCACATCTAGGACCACGATAGTAAAAAATATGACCCTATACAGAAACGTGTATTTGCCAAAAAATGAACTTAACTGTGATGTTTGATTACGATAGTTTTGGAAAATTAAATACAGAGGCAAAGCTGCGGTTCGCAAACACTAGCGAGAACACGACCAAAAAGCAGCTCTATCAAATCAAAAAAGGAAAAGTAGAAACAAGCCTCGAACTAGCAAAAACTGGGCTAGGTGTCGGCTTCGAATCTACGACCTAGTAAATTTGAGTCTCACAGACTTATCACTCAGCCACAGATGGTTAAAATCCCAAAGAAATTAGCCACCAATAACGCAGCTACAAAAGGTAATAAATTGCAGCAACAGTACCACCGAATACAAAAATACACAATTTTGCATCTAACAAATTGGAAAGCAAAAACCCCAATTATGTATAAAATATGCATTTCAAAAAACTCCAATCGAGCCATCTTCACGAAAGAAATCAAGATTTAAAAATGAATCATTTATCAAACTGCCACCAGGCGAATGAACCAATTGTTAACCCAGAGGCGAAGCGGAGCTTCGCATCATTTGCCATACAACGAAAGTAGAGCATTGCAAGCTAACAAGACATTTTCGAAAGCAATTAAGATTTTAAAAAAACTTATCGAACAAAACCGAACCAGGCGAAAGAACCACATGTTAACACAAATTCGACACGGAGCTTCGCATTACTTGCGATACAACAAAATTGCAGCATTCCAAGCTATTAAATAGCCAGTGAGATTAAAATTACTAAGTCGAAAAAAAAACTTGAAATAACAACCACTAGCAATAAATAAGCTTGTAGTTTTTTCCGAGCGTTCACTAAGCTACCAACACGTGTTAAGTCGCCAAATACCTGAAAACAAAAACTGCCAAAGAAAATAGTCGCGATAAAAAATTTTAAACTACCAAAAGACCTGTTGAAAAAACAAGTTGAAAAAACAAGGTCCGTCCGGGACTCGAAACCCTGCATAACCTCCAGACTAAATGCACTGGGGCCTGGAAGTTGCTAAGATTCAAAAATAGAGCAAAATCAATTTCAATAACAAATATGTACACAGAGGCGAAGTGCTTCGCAAACACTTGCGAGAACTCGACCAAAAAGCAGCTCTATCAAGTGCCATAAAAAATCTAGAAATAGGCCTCGAATTTGCACAAACTCGAGGCTTAGCAAAACTCGAATTAGCAAAAATCTGCGAGCTAGCAATTTTGAGTATCACGCACTAACCATTCAGCTACAGATGCTTAAAATCCCCAAAAACTAGCCACCAATAACACAGCTACATATACTGATAAACTGCTAATTCGATGCTACCAAAATACCACCAAACACAAAAAAAATCCAATTTGGCATGTTATCAACCGCCAATCATAAAGCCATATTATGTATAAATTATGCATTTCAAAAAATTGCTAGATCTATTGAGTGAAAAAATTTCTGAAATCGAAATTTGATTCTTGTTATGTCGCTTGAAACAAATAGCTTTCTTCGATTCACTCGATGAAGTCAAAAGGTCAAAGCATATCAAATGTGTAAACTTAAAATTATTCGAATGCCAAAGCTTATGTTATCAATAAGCTGTAAAGGTGCAACAAATAAGCTATTATTGTCAATTCGATGCAGCAAATATAGTTGCATGTAATCGGGAAAAATTATAGTTTATTGGCTAAATTTTTTTTCGTTTCTCGCAAGTCTCAAAACGAAAAAAAAAAAACGAAAGAGGCATCTCTCATAAATGTAATAAGAACAATGATACCCGGTTACTGTGCAAGTAACACAGAATCTGCCTACTACAATCTTGAAAAAATAGGATTTTTTTCAAAATCAAGCCCTTTTTTCTGCGTGGCGTGTCAAAAATATCTGAGCGAAAAATCAGAACTTAGGCATATTCGCCACTCATTGTAAGAAAGGCTAAATGGAAAACAGTTTTTGTAGAAAAATGACAAGAAAAAAAAGAAAAGAAATAAGCTAATAAATTGCTGCAACAGTAGCACCGAATACAAAAATACAAAATTTTGCATCTAACAAATTGGAAAGCAAAAAGCCAAATTATGAATAAATTATGCATTTCAAAAAAACTGCGAGATACATTGAGTTGATAAAACTCTGAAATCGAACTTATTATCATTGTACTGCAGTTTGAAACAAATAACTTTTTTCGGTTTAAAAATGCATCAGCTGGTTTAACTTTTTACTAATCAAATGTCAAAGCACATATGATATTATACTGCTACCGCAGCCAGCCGATTCAAAAGTGCCACCAGAAGTAGCACTTTTATTTGCGACTTAGGTTAGAAAAAAAGAAAGTTCGAACTAATACAATTTGCTTCGCACTTTTAAGAATCAATCGCAAATTGATACACAGGAAATAAGTCTGAAATTTGACCTTAATCCCTTCCACGTACTTCTGCACTTCTTTTTTGCCTGAGTCTAAAAGTTTGTTACAAACATTAAATGGAGATTATTGCAAGAAAAAAGAAGCCGTTAGGTAAATCGATAAAACCACATCAAACACTCGGTCAGGTTTGGTAATTAAGTAAATATCAAGAATCATATTACGATATATTTTCTAGTGACTATATTTAGTACCAAATAGGAAAAACTGTCAATTTCGGTCTTATCTAGTGAGGCAATTTTGTTTCTGAGGAAGTCACAACGCGATAAGTAACCGTCAAAGTTAATTTAGATCTACCAACTATCGCCGTCATTATGAGTAATGAATTAGACCCTGCATCCAGTAATAAAAACTGTTTAGGCAACAACTGTCTTTATTCTAATTCTTTTAATCGGTGTTTTGTTGACAAAATTATAGGAAAATAAATAAAAGATCACTTACAACAAATTTATGGAAAGCGAAGTGGTCTTACATAGTTGGTCTGCGTGGGGCAACAGGGCCTTTGCGCAACTGATCCCTGCAGCAGTTGAGTGGCCGTGGCTGCTGCTTTCGAACTTGATGGGTGGAGTCTGAGGTGGCAAGTCAAACGTGAACACACTATCTGCACTCTTTGGAGTCACTAAGCTAGTCGCACTTGGACAGTCTCTGCCTCCCAATGCGTGCACATGTCCTGAGGCTGTTACATGTCTGTGACCTCCTACACAAAACACACACAAAAAAAAACATTTATAAGAAGCATTTAACAACATTTTAAACCCTGAATCGCGAACATACTTCAAATACGTTTAGAACCAATTTAAAGTCCCGTGGAAACAGACATAAATTTTTAGGTGTATCGACCATATAAAATTTGATGAGAACTTTATGATTAGCTGAATTAAATTTAGCTCAAAATAAGAATACTGCCCCATAACTAATTTCGTTTTACTTATTCACAATCGTATTACTTATTTTAGTGCAATTCCTAATCGCTCATTAACTAAAAAATCTGGTTTAAGATCAATAGATCAGCAATTTTTACAACACTTTGATAGTGTGCCTGCAAGTGTCAGTTCAACTTGTAAATATAATTTAAAACGCAAGTTACGAAAAACCACTTCATCGATATAAGTTTTACACAGTAAAATATAAATCAACTCAAAAAATCAACAACAAAGAGGCGAAGCTTGTAAAAAAAGGCTTTTCTCATCATTTAGTTTATACTGGCACCAAAAACTCCTTTAAGAAACAATTTACGGGTGGCTCAACCAAAAATGGATGTCGTTGAATTGTATCATAAAAATGTTTTAAAACTTTTAGTATTTAGGCTACACCCCTGAAACACACGAAAGCTAAAAAAAATTCTTGTCCACCAAACGAGGCAATATAAGGCGAATAAGCCGATATAACATAAGAAAAAAAATTAGTAAAAAAAAATATACGCACAGAAGAGAAGCACAGCTTCGATTCACTTGCTAAACAACCCAAAAAGAGAATGACAAAAAAGCTCTCAGAAATTGAGACAAAACTCGCTAAGTCAAAATAGTTCGAGAAAAGCTAGATCTACCAAAAATTTAATATCTTTGTCTCGAATTATCTTGAAAAAAAAACCGCTTTAAGAAACCCGCCAAATAAAACGATTGCTTCGAACGTTAAATTAGCTTAGAAAAAAGCTTATTTAGCAATAAGAAAACCAACAACTTTTGAAAAGACACCTGTTGAACCGGGAGAGTTTAACTTTTTAAAAACCTTTGAAGTATAAACCTCAAAAGACTCCCAACTTGTTTTGTGCATCAAACGACGCAAAATGAGGCTACTAAGCCAACTTGGTATTTACCGGGAAAAAATCAACGAATAAATTACGAAAAACGGAAATTATACTGAATTGGAAATGGTAAATTTACTCATTTTTTATAAAGCTGAAACAATACCTGAAAAAAACTATATCTACAAAAAATTACAGCTTTGTCTTGGATAAAACTCATAAACAACCCTAGCAAGCATTGACAATCAATGACCGAGCGGCTAATAGGGTGAAAAACTTGGGTCGACCCTCGCCGTAACGAATCTGTAATCAAAAAAAGTTCAAGCTATAAATTTTTTCAAAATAAATATTATTGGACCTATCACTCCTGAAACAAGCAAAATAATTTTAAATATTCGCCCATGAAACTATGCAACATGAGTTGACTGTGCCGATATAGCTCAAGCCGCACCAGTTTAACCGAAAAAAAAACCATCAAAAAAATAAAACTTGTCAAAATCAGAAATGATAAATTTACAAACTACAGAAAAATGTCCAATGATAGTACCAGGAACTGGAGATACCTCTTTCATTTTTTCCCGAATTTGTGTTATTGATGCAAAATGAAAGGGTTAAACTTACAAACTGAAAAACTGGGCTTCACCAAAACCTTAGTCTCTTATAAATTAAGAGAGTAAACTTTTGAGAAAATGGAATTTTCCAAGACAAACTTTTGTCTTACAAACTTTAAGGCGTAGCCAATTATTCACGGAGTCTGTTACAACCTAATGTCATGCCTCAAAAGCTTCACAAGTATCAAAAGTTTCAAAAAACGGACAAGAAATCAAAACTTGACTTTTCTGAGGGCCATAATACTTTTGTACGAAAAATTGGACGTAGCCGCTTATAAAGGGAAATTTCTCTCAAATCTTTACTTAAGTTAAATGCAAAACCTCAGATTTGAGAGGGGCAGAATTTTTTGTGTTGCGGCATGTTTTCTATATAAAATGCAAGAGAAATTTCGTAAATGTTTGTAAAAAAAAAGATTGTTTCGAGTAAGTACCCTGGAAGCATTGCATATCAACCTTGGAAGCATTGCATATCTTTTAACCTTGGAAGCATTGCATATCAACCAGAGAAAGCCTTCAATCAACCGGAAGGAAGAGTACAAGGCTCGCGAGTTGACCCTGAAGCTGTAAAATTGTTACATTGTCCCACATTCCAGTGGCTTGTTCCAATCAAACTTGCTTATCACAGTTCTATCTGTTTTAATTGCTTTCCAGTTTTCCTATTTTTTTAATGTGCTTTTAATTTGTACAATTTTGCTATTTTTTAGTTACTGATAATGACATAATGTCGAAAACGTTTTACCATTGATGTTTTTTCCCTGAGATCACGAGTAAGTACCAGTGAAAAAACAGCCAATCGAGATTGGAAAAGAGTAGTAAACGCAAGTAGGCAAAAAAAATCACTGAAAGAATCTCAACGTTCGAATTTCAAAGAAAAAAGTTACCCTTTAAGCTCTTTGAATTTCTAGAACTATTTATGATTGACACTTTTTTGATGACATTACCCCAACTTGAGAAAAATGGATCAACAATTAAAGCTTTTTTTTTATTCCGCTGGAAATCTTAAAATAAAATTCCACGTTCGAAACTAGAAATTGTTTACGAATTTTTGCGCCATTTGGAAGTTCGTATTTGGAGAGTGCTATTTACGTCATTTTCCACGGATGAATTTCAATTAACTCAAAAAGTGCATATATACCTAAGTGCATCCCTATTTAAAGACTTTTTCCCGAAAAAAAAAATTCGTTCACTGCGTTCATTACTCTTAATAAAATTTTAAAAAGAGGTAATTTTACCGATCGAGCCCCACTCAGTCGAGGCAGAAAAAGGCCGAGTAGGAACAGGCGGACACTCCACGTGCAGTTTAGTTCCAATATGTACTTGATGAGGCGACATGTTCGCAAACGAGAACTGGGCGGGAGGTTTACTGGCTAAGCTGACCGGCAGTTTAAGCTTACAGTTACTCGAACTAAACTGCTGTTGGTATACTGGTAAGTTGGGCGAATTATTGTTGCTTGTCGGTTTGGAGCCGGAATGATGCGATGCTCCTGGCGATAAGGCTGGGTTCTGGCTTCCAGTGTCCCATATTTGCACGCTCAGCGTTCCAGGAGACTGCATAGAAGCTGGAGATGATGACCCTGCATTAAAAATCATATGGCTATCTCTTAGTCATTTGCGCACAGTTCTTCTCTTTGACTTTGCTCAAAGGCCATTGACAGCAACGAAATATAGCTAGTACAATATTAATGAAATAATAACCTGAGAAAGACGCATTGACGGCTGCTGGTTTTCTTGAGTACTCCCTCTCATTGCGTTTTTCCTCCATATCTCTCAGATCTTTCTCAATATAATCATTTACATCATTGAGAAAATCGTCGTATTGCTTCATTCGTAATTTGCTCTCGTCGACAGACGCACTTCTATATTTGTTCAACTCAGGAATGGGCGAGTAGAGGTCTTCGTTTGAATGAATTTCCAGGCTGTGGTAGTTCGGTCGGACCGAGTTGGTACGCCGACTCGGCGATTGCATCTCACAGCCATGTTGGGCAACTTTGGACAAAAATCGAGGCGGAGGAACATGTGAGCGGGATTTTACAACTTTACTTTTGCCCCCACATTCGGAGAAAGCACTCGATTGTGTGTTTGGATAATTTGCAGCTGAGCTACCAACTGCGTCTATTCCAGGCTGCATTTTCTCGTCTTTTTCACCTTCTGTCACACCAAAATACAAGACAAATCATTTCCACAAATTGTTTTTGGGATACTTTAAATGAATTGTACTTATAAATATAGCAACCAGACAGTTGGAAAAGAGTCAATGAACGCAACTATGCAGAAAAAAATACTGACTCGACTGTCGAATTTCAAAGAAAAATGGATGCCCTTAAAGCTCTTTGAACTTCTGGAACAAATTAAGATGGGCAATTTTTTGTGAACAAATTTTAAGACTCTTTCTGATAAAAATCATCGCGAACTATACACATGAGCAAACGAAATGAAAAAACTACAATCCTTCGCAAACTAAAGAGCATCAAATATTTTCAGAAGTCACCTGAATCTATATCCGCTTGCCGAATTCGTTCCATTTTGCTTGGAGAACTTGAGTGTTTTCGGGAGACTTTTACAGTCACAAAATCCCCGATATTGTTACCTTCCGAATTGCCTTCTTCGATAACACCATTAAATGTCTGCAATCTATTGATATTAGATATATTTGTCATCGAGTTACTTGCTTCTGTCAAGCCATTCTAAATAAGCAAAAATGTTTTAGGACAAATTGAACAACAATTCAAAACATTATTGACTAACTAGAATACCCACTCGAGAGTAAGTTGGGTAGAACTCGTTCCAGAAATATTTAGGAATATAGCATTTACTTTTCCTCAAGTCGTTAGAATCTACATTGCAAACATTATGTCCCTTCTCCAAGTGTCTTCTAAGACTTCGTTGATCACAATAGCTCTTGGTGCAATCATTCTGACTACACGCAAACGGTTTATTGATTGCGTGGGTCAAAGCATGCCCCGACCTAAAAACGAAATTACCACAATATTTTTATAAGTCAGAGATGAAGATAGCAACAATTTTAATAATACTGGCGAAACGTAGCTTCGCGCCACTTGAGCTTTCCATATATTCTAAAAAAAACATTCCAAGAAGAACAGCCACAAGCCGACTACAAAACAGGCCAATATAAATTAAAGGGGACAGTGAAAATCTACTAAAGACATTTTTAACCGTTAATTACGCTGGTGAACAAAATGAAGTGCAAATTCAGGTTTTTACGGTCCCAAAATCTTGCTGTGGATTTCCACTTTTTACAATATGTTCTTCGAGTTTCGGCGATAGTTTACATAGACCAAAAGCAAATGATCAGCGCTAGCCTGCCTCAATAAAATTAACAGTATTTGGTTTCCAAGACTTAACTTGTTATTTCGGGTCTGAAAATGCCAGATTATCTGCGAACAGCTTTCATGAGTTTTTAAACTGCTTAACAGTGCCATTCATAAAATGGACAGCATTGATAAACGTAATGAAATTAGAATTCAGGGTATACCTGAACCTAAAAACTTGTCCAATGCAAAGCGTTTGGAACACGATGAAGAACATTTGAAGAATATTCTAGAAACACTCGGTGAATGGGATAAAAACAACATTAATCTGGTAAAACGGCTTGGTCCCTTTAATGAACAATCGGATCGTCCTCGGTCCCTTATTGTTAAATTTTCCAATGAATGGACTGCTAGGAAATGCTTGACTAAAGGATATAAACTTCGTAATTATGATTACCCAGTCTTTATTAACAAATCGCTGTCAAAATAAGAAGTTATTTTGGAAAAGCGTTTTTTGAAAAACGCTGGGAGCTCATGCAAAATGGAACTTTAAAGCTGAGCTAAAAATCAAAAATCTGAAGCTTTTCCATAACAACGTAGAAATTATTATCCAGTCTTGACTATCAGACATTAGTATTATTGTGTGGAACATTCGCAGTATGGCGAGTGAAAAAAACGATTAGACTGTGTTAACTTTCTATCTATTTACAATCCTGATATTCTATGCCTTTCAGAGACCTGGCTGGATACTACTGATAATATCCTTCCTGACTGTGGTTATACAGTTATATCACAAAACAATAGGCAAAATGGTATTCATGGCGGAGTTGCAATTGTGTACAAATCTTGCTCCCAGTATTCCGCTTACGATTTTACTAGCGCTGATTACGATTTTGCTTGTGGTTGTATTATCAACTCCGACCCCCTTTGCTTGTTGTTACTATTTACAACCCACCAGTTTCTTCCGAGTACTGCATTCAGAGTAATGTGTGTGACATTCGACCAGAATGTGAAAAATGCAATCTCTGCAGAATTCGGAATTTTAGCAGTAAGCCTTCCGGATTGGTGGTTTTTATGAACTAAGGGCGTTATTGGAACGTTTAGCCAAACGGTGAAGGCTGGAATATTCTAGTATTTTAAAATTTCAAAAATTCGAATGATGACGTCACATTTCTGAGAAATGCTGAAACGGCCATTTTTAACAAAAACGAGTGAAAAAACACAACAACAACGTTAGTTGCGCTGACGAGAACAACTTTATCGAAATTGAAGAAGTCGAAATTGAAGAAGAACAGCAGCAGAGTGCAGAGAACGTTCCGAGTTGCAACTATTGTGCTGCTACAATAGTTGCAAGGCCGTTGCGAACAATGGTGAAGGGTAAGAAACCAGCCTTCCGTGTTGTCGTGAAATCGAACTTAAGGAGCTTGATTCACCGGATTCAAGAATCCGGAAGGGTCTCGGGACGGAAAACTTTTATTGACTCATATGAACTTTTAGCATCCTGTCATGTCCTGACTTGAATTTAATTGATATTTGGATTAGTTTTGACAGGGATGAGGTGCTAAGAGTTGGGGGAAAGGGTTGATCCATCTTCGATGGAGATGATGATTTTTATCTACTGAACAAAAACAATAGTAATATAATAAATAGTAGCCCTGTTTTTAGGAGTGACCTCGTGGTCTGGGGATACTGAGACCCAGCCATGAGCTCACTATTTTTGCATGTAATTCAGTTAATTTGAGCGTTCTGGTCGAAGCCGGAGAACAGTAACGTTTTTGTCGACCCGATGTAAGAAAGACCACCGAAAAGTACTGGCTTGGTAGAGACGGTGAAAAACATGCAAAGCTCTGTTTAGACGCTAGCCAGTCGTCTTAAGACTTAGTTTTGTTATCCGTCGATATGTATCTTCCGGGCGAATGTTACATGTATGTTTTTATGGCGCTCCTGGGTGTTATTCTTTCATAACATCATGACCGGCGGAACCGTTAACGAGCACTCCGCGCCGAGCGGATGCTCACATTAACGCCCTTAATAGGCCTAAACTGCCGGGGCGGAAGGGTAGTTCGGAACGTGGAAGCCTTCCGGATTACCGTGAATAGTTTTTTAACCTAGTTAAGACCGAAAATTCACGAACCAGGAAGGGTGGGGGGAATCATGAACCCCTCATCCCCTGAGTGGTTTGTGACCAAAAACACTTAAAGATATAAGCAAAACCAAACAAAAAGTAGTATAGTACCCAAGAAAAACAAAAAACATAAAAAATAACCGAAAAAACCAAAAACAGTAAAAAAGTAAAAAATCAGTAGAAATCATCCCCCCAGACAAGATGTGATTCAACCCCCCCGTTTGTTGTTGATAGATATATTGTTGTTACAGGCATTTATATCAGTCAGGATCGTTACGATCAATTTTGTGGCCCGTTTGTGAGGCTTGTACTGTAGGGTTATTTGAGCATTTAAGCACGTTAATGATAAATTGCGCTCAATCCGGAGGGGTCAGCTGATTTGCGCTCAATTCGGAAGGGTCTTGGGTGAAGACCGATCCGGCAAGCAGTACAAGGAGCAACAAGAAGGGGCTCAACGACAACAACAATCGACTGTTGGGTATCGTTAACAAGTTTTGTATCCCTTTTGGTACAAAAAGTAAGATAGTAATCTGTGGGGGGCTCGACAGTGCTGCACTGTAGTGACCCTTCACCGAACTGCGAATATCCGAGTTAAGCACCTTAATTCGGATAATAAGCAAACCCGGAGGGGTATAGTATTACTAATATTATTACTTATATAGCCTATATTAATAGTCTTATATCGTTTTTCAGTGAAAAACAACGAAAACAGACCGGTTTTTAGGGTCAAAATAGCGATATTTTGATCCCCCCACAAGTCGCGATTTTTGAGATATCGATATTTTTTGAAACGGAAAAAAGCGCTAAGTTAGTGTGTTACATCGTGACTAAACTACTGTAATAAGTAGAACCGGTTAACTTTAGTTCGGAAGTGGTTGGAACTAGTTTAGTACGAAAAACCAAATTTTCCCATTTTTTGATAGTAAGAAACACTATAAAATCAGAAAATTTTTTGAAATCTTTGAGTTAGGACAGTAAAAATAGTTGTTCGGACAACGTCCACTAGTGAATCTACGAGTTTTAAAACCCGCTACCCGAAAGCCTTCCGGGTTGCAGAGAAATCGAACATAACGTGTTTGATTTGGTGGATTCATCAATCCGGAGGGGTCCAGGTAGCATAGTTTTTCGCAAATTTTTTCTACAAAAGCGTTTTAGATCGGGTCTTTTGCATTGAACTAGAAGAGTATAGGCCTTCTGAGCTCAGAACAATAATTTTTAGGTCGAAAGGACCAGATTTGCGGAAAAAGTTAGGCGGAACCTATAAGAGAGAAAATTTTTGAGTTTGGAAAAAAGACGTTTTGGTTAATAACTTTGGAACTACAGAGCATATCGAGTCAATCTTGGTACCATTAGATCAGAAATTAGCTGAACTTACTAGTAGGAAAGAGAATTACTCGAAAAAGTGAGCGAGAAAATTTTTTGAGATTGTTTTTAGCAAATTACACAAATCCGGAGGGGTACACCCTTCACGTTTTATAAATTTTTCTGAAAAACCCTTATACCCCTACCAAAACTGATAGCGATTGAACTAAGTAACTTAGGACAGTTCTAGACAAAAAGGGAGGGCTGAAGGCACAAGACAACCATAATAGAGTCGAAATTAGGCAAGTGATAAGACCCTTCACCGTTAGTGTGAATTGTCAAATAAGTGCCTTAACTTCAATCCGGAGGGGTCTAGGAAAGGACCCTATACCCTTCCCAGTTAATTCTAAACAGCATAAAAGCAACGCAGAACGTATCCGGAGGGGTATAAGCTGAAATTAAGAAAACTACGAAAAACTACTTTGACAGAGCTAAAGGCTCCCAATCCGGAGGGGTCGAAATTTTTCAAAGTCAGAGGGGTCCGAATCCGGAGGGGTCTCTTTTCCACAAAACCGGAGGGGTCCGAATCCGGAGGGGTCTTATAGTTGCTAATTCGGAGGGGTCCAAATTCGGAGGGGTCTACTATTAACTAACTCGGAGGGGTCCCAATCCGGAGGGGTCCATATTCTGACAGTCCGGAAGGGTCCTATTTGTGCCAATCCGGAGGGGTATTATTTTATTAAGGACTTAGGTAAACGAAAGAAAGACTAAAAAGCGAGAGGTATTAGGTTATTAATACACAGGCTAGGTATCAGTGACTGCACTGGTAACTTGCCTTTCAAAAAGAACCAGACTAATACAAAACAGGTCCGAACTCGGATATTCGCGACACTAAGTCTAAATTAAAAAGAGCGTGACTCATTGGTGTGGATTGAAACATAATTCGTTTTTGGGAAAAGTGACTGCCCTGAGGATTTTAGTAGGTCTAGCTCGGGCAGTCCGAAGGCAGATAGGTAACACAATACTCGGTGGGTGCAATAGACGCCCACTTGAGCAAATAACTGCCTTCAAAGTTTTGTCTGTTTGGTGCAGCACCAAGCAGGGAAAGCTTTTTCTTTAAAAGACAGGTTCGACTATTGTACTGCGACCGACTAAGAGTACAAGACACATACGTTTTTTTATATATACATTCAGATTGTGTCAATATATATTTTTTGTTTTTGATTTTAAATCAACCTAAACTGTGCTTGATTGGGTAGTGAGTACACT